AATCTTAGCTGAAGACACTCTGCTTTTTAAGATTCAAATACAATTAGACTTATTATCATCACTGCCACCTAGTCCAGTAGGGAACTCAGTGTCATTCAAGGCAAATCTGGGGATCCTAAGGAGCTTGATTTCTGTTTTGCCATATGAGCCTTCTACCTCTGCAATACTTTTTATAGCATGATGTAGCTGCTGGTTCTTCCCAAACACCATCAGCTCAAGGTACATGTTATAAGTTATTACATAAAATGTAGTTTTAGTGTTCATGCTACCAGAATATTTTCCCTGATTATTTTTTCCTAAAGGGCGTTAATGCTTCATCACAACCCTAGGCAGGAGAGGACACCCCTCTTCTCCCTAGCTGACCTGTCCTTTATCCCCAACCTTCCAAACCACTGTTCGTTTCTTTAATTGTTTGACTCTTTTTTTAAAATCCTCAACTGAGGACATAGTTTTTGATTTTAGAGCAAGAGGGAGAGAGGAGAGGAGGAAGATGAGAGGGGAAAGAAAAACATCTACCCGTTGCCTCCCATTTGTGCCTCAATTGGGGATGGAAACTGTAATCTAGGTATGTGCCCTGAGTGGCGATCGAACCCACAACCTTTTGGAGTACACCGGATCACACTCCAACCAACTGAGCCCCTGGGCCAGGCCCCAGGTTACTGTTCATTTCTCACTCGGCAAATTTTAGGTGTTTTTATTTTGTCCTGTCCCAGCCCCACTGTCCCGAAAGTTCAGAAAGAAAAACCCCCTTTAAAGTGTGATTCAAAAAAGAAGAATTTATTTGACATTGTTTAATTTATTTTGTTCCAATTATGTCCTTATTTTTCCCCAATCTGGTTAAGCCCATATCACAGTGGCACTCACACTAACAGAGACAGAAGTTATGATGATGGCATTAACTAGAAAAACATAAATGGGAAGAATACCCCATGATTCTCTAAACCCACCACTTCACTTGTGACCCCTTTATGCAAATATTTTCAGTCCTTTTCCATGGGAAGGGAGAAGGGAGAACATGTTTCCTCTGCAGTGAATGCAGTGCCCATGGTTTGGATGGGATATTTTCGGTTCTCCCTGGTAGAAATGTGTCTCCTCTGTAATTTTGTTGTTTATTGAGATGATTTTTGTTGTTTTGGGTGTTATGCTTCTAACCCATGCCTTCATCCTTGAAATGTATGTTTTTCTTGTACCTGATCCTCTTGAGTTCTTTTTATTTAAAACATTTCATTACAATATACAGGGTGGGGCAAAAGTAAGTTTACAGTTGTGAGTATGCAAACCAGAGTTTATTCTTGCATTATTATTAACTTGTATTATTTTCCATATGAACAACTGTAAACCTAATTTTGCTCCACTTTGCATTTAAACATAAACAATTATAAAAATTTATGCTTGTAATTTAACATTAACAAATGTTACTAATTTGTTAATTTTATCCGGTCTTTTTTTTTTTTTCTGGTCAGGAAAGGGGAGAGAGGGAGAAATACCGATGTGTTGTTCCACTTATTTATGCATTCACTGTATGTGCCCTGAGTGGAAATTGAACATGTAACCTTGGCATATTGGGAAGATGCCGTAACCAACTGAGTACCCAGTTGGTCTTTCTTTTTAAAAGAAATACAGTGTTGCAGATAGCCCTGTTGCATTCTCTTCCCTTTTTTATTTCTCTTTATCCCTGGCAGGAGTGACCAGTGTCCTAAAGTTGGTATTTATCTTTCCTGCCTATGATTTTAAAATCTGACTCCATGTATGTGTAGCCACTGCAATACACAGGGTTATGTTGAGGGTTTGGAGTCCTTTTCTCCCACTCTGCTCCCCTTGTGAGTCTCCATCTCTTCCTGCCAACCTCTCATCTCACCCCTTCCCTCCCTCAGAGGAAAAGGAGAGGGTGGCACTGGAGCGCCCTGGCCTTTTCTGCTTTCCTCTTTACTACCCCCCGCCCCCACCGGGCCTTCTCCTTCGGTTACTCCCTCCATGTTCTGCACCATCGGACTCTCCTTCCTGTCTTTGTCTTCCTTTGTTCTTGGGGTCCATTGTTCAATCACTTTAATTTCTGTTTGTGGCCTTGAAGATTAACAAGCTCAGTTTTTCTCTGCCCTTATTTGGGACAGTTACAATGGTATTTCTGAAAACCAGAGAAAGAAATGCAGTTTAGTTACTGTCAAATATAGAAACAGTCCCAAGGGAAGAAGAAGCAGAGCTCTATATTTTGGAGAATCTGATACTTTATAACATAGATATAAATTACTTAAAATTGGCATGTTTGTTGTTTGAATGTAGCACTAAAGGCAAATTTGCCTTTGGGGTAATAGTAATTTTTTGCAGAATGTGCTTAACAAAATTCTACTCATCCTCCTAGATACCAGTAATGCCTCATTTTATGATCTATACATAATAGAGACTTTTATGTTTCTCTTTAAATTATCCCAAGTGAAGTTTACTGTAAACAGGAGCTTTCCTTCTTTCATTTAAAGTGTATTGTTCACCTACCTATGCAAAGCACTCTGAATGGAGGTGGGTCGGGCTGTGCTCTTAAGGGTCATAGCAGATGCTTACCTCAGGTATTTAGGGCTCAGAAGAGTTCACAGTCTTCAGTCAGGAGGCAAATATTTGTTCAGGTACTACAGAGTGAGAGTAGTTATTCAGGTACTGTGAGGAAAATCACCTATAGTGGGGAGAGCAAGGGGGAGGAGGGATGGTTATACTCGGCGTGTCATGGCCTCTGTGAGGAACTGGAGTTTGGGGGTTTGGTGGACGTACAAAATCCTTGGTTGCATGTTCTTCAGGTATAAGAGCTTAGAGGTGAATTATATAAAGTCTGGCCATCACAAATATCAATTCTATTATTAGATAGCAGTTACCTTTCTGTTTTCCCATAGATGTTTTGAAGTCACACATTCCATTAGCTCTTCCTGACCTTATAATCCAAATAAAACATTAAGGGGCTAAGAGTAAGAATGGAAGAGAATTGTCTAAAATCGTTACCAGCTGTAGTGAGGGTATATTGTTGACCTCAGTGCACTCTGGGTGGTGGCTTACCTAAGACTGTTCTTGGTTGACTTTCTCAGCGCACGTTCTGGAGGACCACACGCTCTCTGCTCTCTCCTGCCCATCGGCACACCCTCTCGTTTGTTTCTCTGCATGGAACTCGGAGTCCGCTCCCCAGGGCCATCACTGTCTTCCTCTAATGATTGGAAGTAATAAATCATGAACACACAGACTGCACATGAGTGAATACCTACTGTGTGCCCACAGGAGAGGGCTCCGCGGGTGGAAGGGGAGGAGCGAACTTACTTTATAATTGAAGATGGAGCTTTTGCAGCATCTTTTAAATCTGATGTTTTTCCAGTTTCTCTCATCCTCTTCTCAGCTCACCTGCCTTCTTACCATTTATGGTTTAGGTACATAGATAACATTTTGCTATTGTATCCTGCAGGTTAATACTAAGAATTAATGTTTTAACTTCTTTTCCCAGTCAGAAAAGAGCTCAGAACACTAAGACTTACAATTACAGATGGTAAGGAAGCAATACCAGCTGCATAGTCTTTTTCATTTAAAAAAATTCACACTTTAACTTTTATTTTAGGAAAATAGATCCCTTCAGAGTCATAACATCTGGAAGATCACAAGGGGCCTTCGGGTACACTTGTGCCACTTCTACTGCCATAGCTTCAGGTTAAGGATCTCAGTTGGAAGTGCATTTAAAAAGATTTTAAGAAAGAAGATTTAGGTTTATGAGGTCTAGTAACTATAGACAGTTTTGAGATATACCAAGGGATATTTGCCACCTTTTAAAGTTTCCCAGATGACACTATGTATTTTATGTTTTAGAAAATAGAGATTGAGGCAGTAAGATCAAATCAGGACTTTACTTCCCCCCAGAGCCACTCGTGTTCCAGTGAGCTGGGTATTGTCTGCTGCCCAGCCCGGTAAGGCAACACTCGGTGTCCCTAACTCTCGTCCGTGCTGAGGAGGAAAGACAAGTCAGTGCTGGAGAGTCAGTCAGGTGTGGTGAAAGGGAAAGAGAACGCTTTCTTGGGAATCGGGATAGGAAGACTTATCCAAGATTTTCCACAAACTTCAGGCTAATGAGTTTTTATACCTTTTCTGTTTTAAAGTTTCTTCACCCATCAGCACTGGGGTTTGCTGCTCTTCCTCCTACTGCCCCCCCTTCCTGTTGGGGTAGTTCTTGTTAAACCCGTACCATGTGCTTAGTCCTGTGCTGGCAATGGCACTTCACGTCTAACCTCATTTAATCGTCACCTTATCACGTGGTAGGAGCTCAGTCCCTTCTCAGCACAGGGCTTAAACTGCGGCTCCGGCTCCCGGCACGGAGGGGGTGGTTCTCCGGTGCCCACCTGTCCGTCATGCATTTCCTCCCAGTCTGTGGGAAGCCATAACAAATATTGTGAAATTTTCATAAAGCTAAAGATATATACAATTACTCTTTTCATCCTTTTACTAAAAATATGTTATTTGATTTATGAAATAATAGTGATAGTAGAAATCTTTTTCATAGGCCCTGCTTATCAAAGTAAAACATTTGTAAGTCTGCGTTGGTTCTCTTTCTCTCTTTCTCTCTGTTACTTGTTAGTTGATCTAAAGGCCTCACAACACTTGGCATAAAAAAAATTGCCTATAATAAACCAATTTGGCATGTTCCCAATCCAGTGTTAAGAGCAAAGTTATTAAAATATGAAGGGAGGGAATGTATCCTTTAGACATTTAATTGATGTTTAGCAATTATGTAGAGTCTATATTTGATCTAGTGGTAATGCAATTTTATATGCTGCAGCTTCATCCTGACTGTCATCTGAATTGGGTTTTTACCTGTGAATATTTAATATAACCGTTGACAAGAAATATTCTTCGAGGAAACGGTATTCCCTGACGGGATATATCCTTTTGCATCTTCCACGAAAGCCCTGGTTCAGAAATCTTGATTTGTTACCTGTGGGTCTTCTTCCATACTAATGGTGCTCTGCTTGCTTTTTCCTTAGTGATACCAATGAGGTGGACATCCCGCCCAACACTCGAGTTGGCACCAAACGCTACATGCCCCCAGAAGTGCTGGATGAGAGCTTGAACAGAAATCACTTCCAGTCGTACATCATGGCTGACATGTACAGTTTTGGGCTCATCCTTTGGGAGGTGACTAGGAGATGTGTATCCGGGGGTAAGTAACTGATACTGCTGGGCTACTACAAATCTGTTTTGCTGATCAGAAATCAAAGTTCTGTCTACTAAATGAAATTTTCTTTACTTTTTCTCTTTATTTCTGTTAATTCAGTCACAGTCTCTCAGGAAATGGTATTTCACATCAGAGAATTATCTTGGATTGCCTTGTTCCCTCTACCTATGTCTCAGAAATCTCTTCTAGACACAATGTCAACCTCCTCTGCCTTTGCAAAGATCACCTTGTTCTATTTTATGTGTTATCTCAAATCTCTCATGAGCCCTTCCCGCAGCAGTTGCTGTGTCATGGCAGTGCCCTCTGTACCCTGTCCAGCTTCTCCTTGAGGGTCTGCTGGGCCCCACCCCCCGACTCCAGTGCCCCACTTCCTCCGGCTTTCTCTACTCAGATAAGAGACAAAAATATGGGGTGGGAAGCTCATTATTTAACCTCCCCACTTTTTAGCTTTCTATCATACTTCCTCACAAAGCAATTTAAAAACATTAGTTTTTATTGAAAGGAAATTAAAGCCTAAGAATGCTATTATTGGTCATGGGAATTTATTTTGCAAACATCAGGTTTCCCTAGTAAGACTAACTGAATAAGAAGGCATCCTTAACTATTCTGAGATGTTGTTATTGCCTGTAGTATTTTGCTTATTGCTACATAATTTGTCTTTTAGTAGATTCCAACACCTTTCAGGTGAGGAGCTGAGTCTTAGGCTCTGTAGCACCCTAACTACCATGTTTATGGTTTTACTCGTGGTCGTGCATGTGAAGAAACCCCGGTGCTGCTGCTCTTCCTCACAGTGGCCGGAGAAACTCACCTGCCTGAGAGCCCGAGCTTGCCCAAGATTCGGAAAACCTGGCCTACCCTTAACGAACACTGGCATTTGTTCCTAGCCCTGCTGTTTGTTAGCTGTGAACCTTTGCCAAGTACTAAACTTTTCTTTGTTTCAGTTTTCTCATCTTAAGAAGGAGGTGAATTATTATTGCATTACCTCAGATAGTTGTGAGGTTTTAATGATTGTAAAGAGAATTAAAACTGCCTGACCCATAAGTAGTACTCAACACATGTTAGCTGTTATTTTAAATGTTCATTTCAGTTGGTAAAACCTCAACTTACATTTAGAATCCTATTTACATATAAAGGAGAAACAGTTAATCAATAAGCATTCATACTTTTGCAGAAAGGTCATCTTTGGTGATGCAGTCTCTTCTGTCCACTCTGGGAATTCTGAGCTTCTCACAGACTTATGTTCAAGTACAACAACACCGTCCCTCTAAAGTTGAGAGAACTCCTTTTGTCCCAAAGGAAAGTTAATGTAGGAAACGTTTCCTATTCAAATACTGAGTAAATCTCCTGTCATAATTATGAAGAAGAAAAGAAGTAACCAAAATACTGATTAACTGCCTATGCCTTGATTTCATGTTTTATAAAGAGTAAATGAGCATATTTTTGAATAACATATTGATACTTATTTAATATAGGTCTATAGAAGTTGAAGGAATTAGAGGACAAGGTTACATTTCTAGCTGTGTTGTCCTGAACATCTACAACAAATAGGCCTTGAGAGCCCTGTGTCTGAAGCCTGTGGGGCAGAATGTGGGAGACAGGATCCTTAGCTTAAAAACCAACTGGGGCAGTAATTGCTTCCTTAGGGCCATCTTGGCCTCTGGAGATGTGAGAGGCACTAAACTGATCGCTTATCTGTGCATGAGACTGACACATGGTTGTCAGAGGTGTGAGAGTTCCGGTTCTCCCCCATACTGACCTGGACTAGTTACTTGATCCCTCAGAACCAAGTTTCCTCATCTATGCAGTGTGGAAAATAATGCTGCCTCATAAACGTGTTTGTAAGAATTTAATATGGTATATAAATGTTGAATCCCTATGTGACACCTGAAAATAATATAATATTGTATGTCAACTGTACTTTAAATTTAAAAAAAGATATATAGCATACTTACCTTCGTGCCTGGTACATAATAGGCTCTCAACAAATGAGTTTCTTTTCCCAAAGGGGCAAAGCACACAAAATTCTATACTCCAACACTTTTTTAAAATGAAGATGTTAGAAGTTTTGGGATAGTCATTCTAGTCCGTGTAATTTTGGGTGAAGTAGACACATCAAGATATATGCCTTTCAAACTTTGGAAGGAAAAGAAAGAAAGTTTTGAGGTTTCAGATACAATTACATGGCAGCTAATATAGACATTTTGCTAACAATTGGATGCTAGAAATGATTAAGACCTATAGTTCAAAGATAAACTTTGATTAATTCATAATTTTATATGACTCGGCCTGTGTCTGTTGTTCTATATGCACCTCTCCCAGTGTGGAACACCAGCTGGCCAGGCAGCGGCACTGACATTGGGCGCTGAGAAAACACAAGATGAGTAAGACAGACCTTCTCTGCCCTAAAGACAATTCCTGAGCAGCTGTCTGGGGAATTAGAAAAGAAGGAAGGACTGGAGTGAAGTGATCATCTCCTGTGTATTAGACTCTGTGTTTTTATTATCTCCTGTAGAGAAAAAACACAATGGAAGGCAGTGTTATCATAGATAATATAAATAATTCTGTCCTTCGGTCTGAGCAGAGGACAGAGGAAGTGGTGGGTTGGAATGGTCGGAGAAAACCTTTGAACCTTCTGGTCCTTTATAGTTGTATATGAATTTGAGTTTGCTTTTTAAAGGGCATAATACAGACTCCAGATTTCGTTGTGTAAATCCCCAGTGAATTTAGTGATACAGCGGATAATCTGCCATCCCACTTGCTAGGGTAAAAAGCAATGACATTTCTATAAAAGATGATTTAGGATGGAGAATAGGGTGCTCCAAAAAGATTGTTCAGAGCAGCATCCTCTGAGGACAGAGGCTTCTGTAATTATTGTGAGGAGTTAATCAGATGGGTTTGGAAAGAAGCCACAAGTAGCCTGCTTTTTAAAGAACAAGAGGAAAAAGGTAGAAATTGTGTACTATGAAAAATAAGATAGCCTTTATAATGACAAGAGCAATTTCCCCAAAGATGATGTAGATTTGTGTTTCTTAACCTTTCTTTTAACAATACGCATTTTTTCCTACTTAGTAATGTATTCTTTGCAGATGGTTTGGATAACTACAGAAAATTTAAAGAAAAAAATCAAATAGTCTTTGCACTTAAAAAATCATGGTTAATGTTTTCAGGTGTGTACAATTCTCCAAGCTTTAAATGTGCAAAATTATATTCTTATGATTAAGCATAAAAAATGTAAATATGACTTTTTTCAAGTAGAATATACAGCCAAGTGTATTATATGATTCATAACCTCATACTGCCATAATAGAAACAATCACATATTATACAATATGAGCTTGGGATGAGCCTGCCAAATTTGCATGGAGATTTAATATAGATTTTTAAAAATTTGGCATACAGGAGCCTTTATAAAATTGGAAATAAATTTGAGATGCTTGTTTTATTTAGTTTTTGGAAATTAGAAAAATGTCTTGAAGACTTATACTATTATGTTTTGTTAGGTTTTCTATTCATTTTAAAAATTAAATTAAGTGTCATCTGGGCACATTTTTTCCCAAGATGTATTTTGCTGTTTTTCAACCTGAACTTCTCTTTAGTACTGATAGAACTTTTTTTTCTTTTTTGAGGACAGTTTGTATGCTAGGGTTTTATTTCTACTTCATAGAAAAAATAATAATAAAATCATGTTTTCAGGAGTAGTGGAAGAATACCAGCTTCCCTACTATGATCTGGTGCCCAGTGATCCCTCTTTTGAGGACATGAGAGAGGTTGTGTGCATCAAAAAGCTGCGTCCCTCGTTCCCCAGCCGGTGGAGTGGCGATGAGGTAAGCCTCGAGGAAACCACGTGCTATATAACTTTTCCTTTTTTGCCAAAATTCCAAATATTCATTTCAGGAATTCTTTTTTTAAAGGTTTTATTTATTTATTTATTTTTAGAGCGAGAGGAAGGGAGGGAGAAAGAGAGGGAGAGGAACATCAGTGTGTGGTTGCCTCTCATGTGGTCCCGCTGGGGACCTGGCCTACAACCCAGGCATGTGCCCTGACTGGGAACCAAACTGGCGACTCTTTCATTCATAGCTCAAGCTCAATCCACTGAGCAACACCAGCCAGAGCAGGAATTCTTTTTCTTTGTCTTGATGGTGACAGTAACAATACCACACTGCAATAATTTATATGGCTCTAAGTGTAATATGGTATATTATCTGTTTCTTTTTTTATTTCATTTTGCCACTTCCAAAATATATTGAGTGCGTTAACATTTGGCCAGCATAACAGATAACATTATTTCAGTTATTTTTAATGTCCTGTCATTTGCATAAAGACTATATTTCTGTGTGTGTGTGTGTATTTTCAAAGCATCATCAATTTTCTCCATGACAAATCCACGTACAACATTCTCTCATTTTGATGACAGAGAAGATAGGCATCTGAAAAATGCATTTTTTCTACACACAAAAGTTGTTCAAGTTGACCTAGTTTGTTAATAAAGATGAAGAGATGCAATTTCAGCAGGGCCACTGCAACTGGGCTGTAAGGATGTAGTGGTGAAAACTAACCCAGGTCTGTCTGCTCAAAAGCTGTTCCGAAGGAGGAAATGAGTGGGGCGGGCCTTGCCTTGCCTGACTCATGGGCTCTGCATCCTCTCTGTCCGTCCTCTGGCTTGTAAACTTACCCAGGTTCTGGATGTTGTGGCAGACGGCATTCGGAGATGTGTTTGAAGCATCAAATATGTACCGGAGCCAGTGCAAACACATGGGCAGGGCACTGTTTATAAAATAATTCTTCAGTGTTAAAAGGTATTTAAAAATAACCTTTGGCTCATTGGTTTTGTGTCTAGTTACTGAAACGCTAAATAATACATTGTTTTCCAGTGGACCATGCAGAAAGCTTTATGAGATGCTGGAGTTACATTACTTTGAAAGTGGTTATGGGCATTGGTATTTCCCCCGATTCCTTCACTGAGGATTTCTAATGAAGTGAAATTGTGCTTTTCAACAGGAAGATCAATAATTGATGTAGGAGAAAGTTTTAGCCAGACTCTGCACAGGTCATTAATCTTGTTAAATGCAACATTGTGATGCTATTATTGTAGCAGACAGCTGTGATTTAGGAATAGCCACGTTTGTTTGTATAGTATGGAATTAGAGAGAAGACTTAAGCTTATCAAGTGTTGAAAACAATCTGAGAGTGTGGAGTGGAATACAGATTCCCTGGGTATTTTTGTATTTATTTAATATTGACTTCAAAGGTACTATTTTTCAATCAGCAAAACCACCTGCTTGCTCCTATCACAAGGGAGACATGAAAACCTGTTTTAGTCATTTAAAATTTGCATGAAAAAATAATTTTTATGAAATTTTGTCTGCCTGGTTTTAAAAGTATCTTTCAAAATGTATTCAGAGTTTAGAAATGCAAGACTAAAAGCCAAATATGTATGACGGGCCAGCCTGGCACCTCATAAATGCACGTCTCTAATGCTGCTCTGCTCCCGGTTTCCCTCCCTCCCGCAGTGTCTCCGGCAGATGGGGAAGCTGATGACGGAGTGCTGGGCGCACAACCCTGCCTCAAGACTGACGGCCCTGCGTGTTAAGAAAACACTTGCCAAAATGTCGGAGTCCCAGGACATTAAACTTTGATCCGAGGGGTTGGGGGGCATTACTGGAGAAAGTCAGATCTTCTTCTCTTTGTGGGCAAAGCAAAAAATGTTCCAGACACATCCACAGTGCAAGCCTTGAACGCGGCCCTGCTTCCCAGCGGGTCCAGCCTCACCTCTCAGGGAGCAGCCTCCACGAAGAAGTTCCCAGAAACAAATTTATCGTGTCTGTAGGAGGTTGAAACTGCTTGGGTAACTTGTTCAAGAAATGATGCTTTTTGCTTTCTAAGAAAGCCCCATATTTTGAGATTGCCCCCTCTTTACCCCCAAAAGATGCTTTAATTTTGCCAAAATATAACAATTAATTTAGGTGTTTTAAGGTTTATACTAGTATAGTTTAAATAATAACAATGGAAGTTCTTGCCAGAAATTCTGCTGGAAAGTAAATTAAAATAGTTTTTCCATTGGTAAAATGTTATTGCACTCTACAAACCAAAAGACAGTCTGTGAAGTTGGAGAATGCAGAGTGGAACTCTCTGGAAAGCCCCTGCCCCACCCCTCAGACCACTTTGGCCAGCCCACTCTGGGCGCCACCTCAGCAATGTGAATGCACCTGGGTACAAACACCACCTGTCTGGGACCACCTGTGGGGGTTCCTGCAGGTGGCCTTTTGCAGCTTCAGAGGATATGGAACAAATGAAGATTTTATGTGATTCTAGTAGAAGTAGTAAGTGTCAGTGTTCTTCTTCAGAGCCATGTGGTGTTTCTGATTCTGTTGGGTATTTCTTTCATGGTCGAGTCCCTTCCTTTTCATTAAACACAAACAAAGCCTTTTTTTAAAAATAATGTGCAGAGAATTGACCCATGCATGCTTTTGATCTCTCATCAAAAAGTTCAATATTAAATAAAATTGCCATCAGTTGCGTTGAAGACCACACACTTTACAATAGAGATACTGGGCTCTTGTGTTGTAAGAAGACCATGTCAGTAGGGAAGAGGGTGGGGGTACACAGGGCTCCTTTCTCATATACGCAGAAGAGCCCATCTCAGAAGCACAAGGGGAAAGTTATGCGCACCTTACTTTGTATAGATAAAACCAGTTTCTTTTCGTTATTATCTGTCTCTTTTGTGTCTGAGTTAAGAGAAGAAGAAGCCTATGTCAGGTTAATTTAACTAAATTTTAATTTAAAAAAATAGATACGTATAACCTCCAAATGGGACAGCAGAGGAGAGCTAGTGGAGGCCACAAAAGAGTATGGCTGCTGTGACTTATTTTGCTAGAATAGACATGGACTGAGTATATACATTATAGGTGATCATTTCACATCTTAGGAATACTGACTCTATTTTATTTTATTTTCATGCTGTTCAGTTCACTTTTTAATTTATTAATTTTGTATTCTCTGTGGCAACTGTGCAAAACATCTCTTCACCTACCGGATTCTGCCCGGTTTTCACTTTGAGCAACAGGAGTCCGATCATAGATAGGGCCCATGTTCCTGAGCAACAGGACCATAAAGTCCAAAGTCGTATGCATCCCCCACACCTTTATTCATTTACATGTCCTTACTATGGCTTTCGTCTGCTGCTCAGAAATTCTGTAATTTAGTAAGGAATTGGGAAGTGCTTTCCCCTCAGCCTCTTAAAAAAAGGACGTTTCTTCCAGACTACTCCAGGGGGCAGTGTTTTATAACACATTTCCACCACTTGCTGACTGAAGGATGGAGATTTTTTGAAAATTTGACAGCTGCATGAAAAATGGGAAAATGTTTTTCTCACTTCTGAAGTCGGCTTGCAGCTGGTGGCTTGTTCATTGATGAAACATCCGAGAGCAAAGAGTGGCTGTGAGCGGTGCTGATTCGGGGCGGGTGCTGAGAGGAAACACAGTGTTCTGTACGCAGCCCTCACTTTCCAAGGCTTCAGAGCCACATTTTGTTTGTAACAAAGATTTTTTGATTCTTGAATATGAACAAAATCTGTTTTTTAAAAAAATTAGACACAGTTGGTTCCAAATATAATTTTAATCCAAATATTGCTTTTTTTTTTTGGTGATACTGAAATAACCTGACTGGCAATGTGATGATGGTTGCTTTCTCTTGTGTCAAATTGTGTTCTTTGTGATAGCTTAGAAGGAATGTGTGGCCTGAACTAGGTGTGATACTCATCTGAGCCATGGAGAGAGACGCCAGTGCCTCCGGTCAGATCGTCCACAGACAAACAAGTACACATTTATGCCAGTCGAGTGAGGACATGTTTTGGTTTCCTGATTTTTCCTAAATGTTAAGTGAGGTTGGACTTATTTTTTTAGACAAAAATGTGTGTTCTTTTTGGTAAGTTTTTATATATGATAACTTCAAATCAGAATATTTTGGGGGGAGGTGATGATTTGAAAGTTAACTAGTTTTCTAGGGAGGTGTTGGTTCTAATGAAAAATAGCAGGAAATTTCTTCTATATTACTTGATTAGTTGCTTTGCAAAAATCAATAGCTTCTTTTCTATTTCTCAACCTGATTTACTCACCATGAACATTTAAAAGTTATTTCTGAGATACTTCAAGACATCTATTTAGTTATTACAGTCTTTCAGTGCAACAAGAATTTATTTATGAATAGATGTTTCTGTCTTCCAAAAATTCAGCTTAGAGAATCCTAAAGTGTTCTTAAACAGACTACCTACTCACTTCCAAATAATTATTTTTCATTTTTAAATTTCTAGTAGCTCAGAAGTGAATTGTATTTTATTTTATTTTATTTCCTTTTTGTTTTACCTTTCTATATAATAAGTGGGAACCTGGAAATTAATAATGTAGTTGATTTCTTACTGTAAGGACTATTTCAAAGACTAAGATTTCCTCCTAGTCACTCTCCCAGAGGTGTCCTCAGATACTAGTTGCTAGCTAATATAAGTTTTGTATGCTAAGATGATCAGGTTTATAGTTTATTATGTGTGTATATTTTCTACAAATATATATGTATATATAAATATTATGTTCAATTTGGAGTCTGGCACAACTCCATTTTGTGGATTAGAGATTTAAATATTATGGATGATAAAGCACTAAATGAAACATAATATTTATTTATGAAAGTTGTGTAGATTGTTAACTCACAAGTAACAGTGCTATGAACATTGTATGTGAGGAGACAGGCTTGGACCTCCTGGAAAGCACCGCTCGAAACTCACTAGTGACCATTCTTTTTACTCTCAAAACATGAAGCTGCTTAGAAAACATGCTAAGACTTTATTTACAGGGAATTCCTTGCTTCACTTGTGTAGCCGGGTGTGGCAAGTACTAGAAACAACCGAATTTCATGTTTCTAGAGTCATGCATATTCATTAGAAGTTCCAGTGTTTTATGTCATTGGTCTGTCCTAGTTTTTCTCTGTAGGTGGAAAGGCACCGAAAGAAGTATAGTTTTTAAACTTGAATAGTTCTGTGGTTATAACTCCTTAGAAAACTCAGTCATGTAGCAGTGGAAATGAACAAAATGGCACCAAAAGTGTCATTATTTAGCAATTATGATTTAGCGATTATGATTGCTCTTATAAAACAAAACAAAACAAAAAAAACAATGCCATATTTTTTTGAGAAGAGTTGGCAATATATAAAGGGTTTTGTTGTCTGTTTCAAAAGAAGACTGATTTGTGTTCTTTTGGGGAACCAGTGCCTTATTGAATTTGTATATACTGTAATTATTCAGGACTAGGGAACAAACAATTGTATTGGTTACAAATTGTTTATGGCTTTGTTTGAACATTCCCCCAAATAAAATGGTTTCATTCTCCCCTTGGAAAGAATGTGTCTTTTATGTTACAGTTGTGCTTTTTTTCTGTCTTTGAAAATGCCGCATTGTTACAGGCGGGAAGGTGGTGGTGGAGGGGAGCCACGCAGGTGAGTTTATACACTTGGTTGCAGGAGAGCGAGAGCCACAGTCCGACAGCTTCTGTTATTCCTGTAATGAGGAGACACAGTCATTTTCTGAGAGACAGAGAAAAGATAGGGACGGCAATGGTTTAAAGAAGTGAGCATTGTACTGTGGAAAATCACAGCCTGTGGGCAACGCCGGGCCTGATTGAGATTGATGCTGCGTGACTTAGTGGGTGAGGGTGTGGCCTCTGGACTGGGGACAGCCCGCACGTGCCTCCAGGCTCACTCACTCCCTAGGCTGAGTGACAGTAGGCACGTTCTGACCTCTGAAAGACTCGGTTTCTTCCCCTTGAAGATGAGAATCACACTAATGTCTATTGCATGGAATGGTTCTGAAGTTGAAATGCAATCCACGTGACAATCCCCTTTTCTCTGTAGTTTTAGGATTTCATTTTTATACCAGCAACCCAAGTGTGGGCATGGACACTACAGTAATTGGATTCATTCAGAATGAGGTTTACCAGGCCTGTGGAGCAAAGGGCCATAGAAAATAAAGAATATCATCATCAAGGGCATGGCTGACATTGTACAGAGTGGGGACAGGATCAAAGGGGAGCCCACTGATGGGTCAAAGGGCAGGGGGCCCTGATGGGTTGAGGTAGCACACCGGCAGTTTTTGAGAAAGAGGCTGTGGTCAGAATGGAGATTCAGAGAGGAAGCAGCGAGACTAAGCACAAGGCTTTGGGTGTGATCGCCATCGTGGGTGGGTGTGGTGGGCAAGATCACCGGTGATGAAAGAGGGGCCCGAAAGCCAGACCTGTGGGTCTGTCTTGGTGGATTTTGAAGCTACCAGGATGGTGGCACAGAGGGACAGACACAGAGGGAGGCCAGATCTCAGAGCTCTCCCATGACCTCAGTATGCAGAGGCTTGAAATGGGTGGTGATTCTCATCGGGGTGGAAACCAAAAGCCGGGTGTCCTACTGGAGAAACACAGGGTGAATCCACATGGAGGGGTGCTCTGGTAGGAAGAAATGAGGGAGAGAGCATTCTCTGTTGCTTATAAATATAATTTATTACCTGTTTAAAAATTCTTTCTTACAATTTATACATGTTGGCTGACAGAATAAATGCAGGCAATTTACAAACCAAGGGGACTGCAGGAAAATGGGGAGAGGCATCAGAGAGAAAACAGAGACACACCTGGCGCCGGCACCCTCACCTCCGCCGCATGGCGCCTCGGTGGGCGAAGTGCCCAGGGAGCACTCCTCCTCCACCAGGGGTTTTCTAGAAAAGGAATTGCATAGAAGATAGAGCAAGAGGGAACTCCACAACAACAAAAGAAGTGTTCCATATCTGAAAGCCAAGGTTGTATTGTGTTTAAAAAAGGAAAAAAGACAAAGCACAAAACCTCCATCTGACATTTCTGCAGTTGAACAGTTCCAAAGGGAACGGCAGGTGGATGTCACAGGCTCTTCAGCACAGACTGCTGGGGCTCTTTCTCTGCCAAACATTGGTTGTCTTCTTTAGAAAGAGCAAAGAGAAAGGTTACCAATGTGCTACAGCTCGACATCAAACCCGATGGACACAGAGAGCACTGTGACATCCAGCGCGAGCACACGGAGTGATGCTGTCCCTGCGCTTGGGCCCAGTGCTCTGTCTGGAGGGTGAGGGTGTCACCACCAGCGGGTCTAGGAAGGAACGGAGGGAGAACGCAAACCACGGATCGCACGTGCCGTGTGTTCTCATTGCGGTCCGCTTTCTTCTCCAAGGCCGGGAGCAGTATCCACTGGTGTTTAGAACCCTGCACTGGCAGGTGTTATAAGAGACTAAGGATATAAAAAGGAAAAGGCATTTTCCACTGTCTGTAGCTTTCTTGCTCTTTTATGCCATTCTAAACAGATTTGTTTGAACAGAGAGAGCATAGCTCTCAGGTCATGATTCTCAGATGTTGCCTCACCATCATGCTGAGGTTCAGAGCCACGGACTCCTCGTCTGTTAGGGTTCAGGTTCTGAACTCCAGCTCTGAGGGCTATTCCTCAGGGTTGGTGCCATCAGGCTCAATAGCAGGTCTGGCAGTGTCAATACCAGTAGACCTTTGGGACTGAGGGAGGGTGACGCAGAGGTTAGGCATATTTAAAAGGGGCCCTGTCCTGTTACGGACTAGAGAGTTAATGGTTTTGCTGAGGCACACATCTAAAATGGCACATTAAGAGGCTGACATACAGCAGCATGGACTTCTGCTGGTGGGCAGCTGATGGTATCTTGGGGCAATGTCCCCATTTTCCACCCCAAAACTGGTGGGTCATGATTCTCAGGACATTCTGCACGGATTCCTGACTCAGGATTCTGGACAGATCTCATCAACACACAACAGTCCAGTGGACAGTGGGATGGGTTATGGCCCCTTACGAGGGCGAGGCTTTGTGTGCTAGTCGGTTTGCAGAGTCTGTCATCCTTGTAATCCTCTCCTTGACCGTGCGAAAATTGGTCTGGAGCACACCTTATGTGTTGTTGAACGAATCCATTGTCATCCCACCAAAGGTCAATACAGGGAGGTGACAGGCCTTCTGGATAACCTGGAAGCCACGAACCCTTCTGAAAACATTTTAAAGCACAATTTCTGAAAATGGGGGCAACCACAGGACTGATACGATTAAAGGGGTCGGGGATTTCATTGTCTGACAGTCTGTGGAGAAAACCCACCCAGTGACAGGCAAGGCCATCTCCCTACTTTAGAAAAAGAGCAAGTTTTCAAGCATGAATTCTGGAAATATTTATGACTCCATTTGGTTTACTGACCTGTAGGGACAAAGGCTTAAATTAACATTGGTTACAATGTATTTATATACTTTATGCCTTATTCCATCAAAAAATCTTTAGAGATGTAAGGGAAGTCTTTCAAAATGATTATTATAGCAAAAAATTATACAAATAGATTTCTAGGGTAGAGAAACAGCACTTCACTGCACAGTGGCAGATTTCTAAGAATTGCAATCAACATTAGTTCAGTCGGTAAAGTTAAAAAAAAAGAATACAAAAGCACAAACAAAAAACCCAAAGTGTAATAGTTGTTCCTGTGAGGCACTCCAAAGGTAAAAAGAAGAAAAAAGTTTTATTACCTTGAGATCATAATAAAAATATTTACCATACTGGACCTACAGATTTTAATGCTCATTGACCATCACCATCTCTGTAAATAACTGGCTTTGAGTGAAGACACTCTGATTCACAAAAGCTCCTCGAGTCTCAGATGGGATGGATAAAACTCAATTTCACTTCAGCTGTTTCTGTGGCCATTCTTTCTCTTGCCAGCCTTGGATTTGCACTGAGGTCTCTAAGTGAAACTGACAGCTTGTCTAAAGCAACTACTTAGCAAAAGCCAAAGCTGACATTCAACCTGAAGACCGAGAATTTGACAAGTAAGCTCTTTCTACTTTCTTTACTCTCTCTTTCAGGTCTTCATATGGAGTTCATTCCCTTGCCCCAGGGGGCAGACCTTAAAGGAATGAAGGCCTGTGAATTCTGGGGAGGTAGTGATCGCAATATTGGCTCCCTTCCTCTGACACTGATGACAGCGGGGCAGGTGGACCCAGAGCACAGCTGTGTCCCTGACAGGGACACTTACGGATCCATAAGACAAGAGCCTCATTTACTCCTTTCCAGGAGAAGTACAAAGTCTTGACTCTGCTATCTGAATGCTTACTTTAAAGATATTGGAGAAACGCCATTCAAATATATTACTGAATGTGTAGTTTCTAGAGTGTCCTGAACACAATCTCCCTAAGAACAGCCTACTGTTTGAAAGCTACAAAACGATAATATATATGAAAATGGGCAATGGTTAGGCAGTTTAATTGGACACCTCACACAAAATATTGCCCTGTCCTGGAACAGCCGACACTGCTGCAGCGAGGGTGGGTTTTTCCATGTAACTGAGGGGCGTACCCCCAGGTGTTCACGCTGGGCACGAAAAGGCTGCTAGCTGTGAGGACCTTGGGGTTACACGTTCCCATCCCCTCGTGCCCAGGTATCAATTCTGAACCCAACTTCTCTTCCTTCCAGATCGTTTTAAGGAAATTCACATCAGTGTGGTGAGAAAAAAAAAATGACAGTAAGAACAGGATGAAACCTCTGTCTTTAGGTCCCCAAATTCAGAAGAAAGGAAGCTGTTCTCCTTGATCAACAATCACATTTCAACTACTTAGACATAGGATTCTCATTTTCACATATAACACTTTTTCCAAGTGGATGCTTCTTACATTTCCAAACACAAATGTTAGGAACCAAATGTAAGGAGACTTAAAATGTATAAGGCCCAGTGAAAAATACTGCGTAGATGTTTAAAATGATGTCTTCAAAGACTGTTTTATATAGATTTTTATGTATTTCTATTATTTCTACCACCAAAATACCAACTTGAGATGTGTCATGTGTGAATGAGTTGATGACATAGTAGGCTCAGCGTGACATGAGATTTTTGTTATGGGTACTTTCAGTGAGAAAAATATGAAAATAAGAAAACTGTATTTCAAGTGAAAAATGTCCCATGTCTATTTGTCATCAAAGTCCTGTTGACTCTGCAGGTATTCATTCCCTTTGTCAACTTTTAGTGCGTTTGTGTAACAAACTCAAGGTGGACTGTGTTACACACCACTAGGTGGCACCACGGACAAGTGATAAATTTCCCTTCCCAATGAAGCAAGCCTGTCTCTGGGCACAAGCTGAAAAGGCAGGAGAGGCAGGACTGGACTCATAGAGTGGTTGATGAAGTGGCCGCCTGGAAATGAACGGATGGCTGTGGAGCTTCTAAGTTTGAGAGCAATCTAACCACTCTTGCTTTTTTCCACAGAAGAAGGAGATCAGAATTCGTAGTGAAAATGATCTGACATTAAATGGAGTGTTGATGTGTGGAAGTTGCCATTCACTTGATGGGAAACGTCACAGAAATCCGCACCCACTGAGAGATGGACACCTCCTTTATAAAGAGCCAGCCTCTGTTCCTGTTTCTGGTGCTGGGATGCTGAACCACAGCAGCTGAGGTGAACGCCAAAGGCCCTCAATGGCATTGACAATACAGTTCCTGCTCTGCTCCCTATTTCTGTGTTGATGACTTTTCAATGGCATTTTTTTCTAGTTCTACTTTTGAAATGATTATCTGGATAGCTGCATATCTACTCCTTCTACTTTTCAGTAGGCAGGGGAGTTCCTTTAAGAGTCCTTCAGATTTCTAATTCCTAATTGCCATAGATGACAACCCCCCAAACCAGGAATGGTGAGCAAGCTTGGGAAGTTTCAAGATGCAGCAATGAACAATAGCTCTCTTTGATCTTCCTCCATTTAAAAAAATATATATTTAATTTTTTGTGTAGAATACAATTTTACTATCTTTTGGTCAAATTATGCATCGGTACAGGCATTATCCACTGAACTTGTTTATTAATGCAAGCTTTCCCTTTCATGACAAGTGTAACATATTTTTCTATATGGTGCAGGGGGTGGCATGAGAGAGACAGATTATAGAATACATGCCTAAAACAGAAAACAAGAAATGAAGGGTATGAATGGAAAGGCTTCATACCAAAGTATCAGTATTTTCTCAATGACAAGGATGGAGGGGTCTAAAAATATCAAGAAGTCACCAAAATAGGAGAGGAAATATATGTGGAAGGGAGGGAAAAACTCTATGAAATTATTTCTAATTCAAATCCATCCAGCAAGCTGGATGCCTCTAGCCCAGAATAAGCCATGGCTACATTTTCAAGGTTCTTATTCATACACCTGGGTCCTTGTTTTTCCATCCTGATTTGGCTCCTGGGCTGTTGACTCAGTTTCCCATCTGCAGAATGAACTGAGCCCCTGTGTTAAAACACAGAACTTGTGATGGTCCTAAGGAAATACCCTAGTTTACACAAAGTACTGTCTTGATGAGCTATTTTTCAGTTAAAATTTTTTTAATTTAAAAATTTCATGACAGTAATAGAACATAATTTGCCACTAACCAGGAAGGCAAATGGTTCCAAGAGAGGAAAGAAAGTGATAATAAAGGGATGTGATCTCTTGGTGAACAGCATCATTCAATGATGCAGAGACAAGACTTGAAAGCATAACAAATATGTTACAGGTTAGAATAACTGTCTTGCAAGTTGGAAGTATTTGAAAGGTGTAATGTAACCTGGACAAGAGTCTAGCTTTTACGGATCTTGAAAGGGTCCAGCTCAGAGCCACTGTGGTTTTCTTACTGGTGAGTGAGGCTGGAGTTGGGGTCCAACCTTGAGATCATCTGACCCACTGTGGTGTTTACAGGCGAGGAAGCTGAGGTCTAATGAGGTCAAATGACTTTCCCAAGTAGCACAGCTAGACAACCGCAAACCCAAAGTGAGAACTGGTTTCCCAATTTCCAGTTCAGAGGCCATTCCTCCAACCACACTGCCTCCAAGGGAGACAGAGTACTGAGGGAGTCAGTGTGGGGCCATGTGACCCCTGTATTAAGTGAACTTGAATAGAGAATGCTTCACGTGATAAGACTCAGAGGAGAAAGACCCTGCCCGACCAAGCTGTAAGAACAGACTGACAAGTCAGTAAGCACTGACCACCTCTGGGGCAGAATGACGGGAAAAGATGAAAGGCGAAGGAAGCAACGCCTGTTTAATTAAACTGGTGGCCATGCCCACCTTGTTATGGGAAACGGTGAGGCAGGTCTAGTCAATACCTAAATACTAACAGTACTGCTAACAAAAACAGAAGTTAAAATAAAATTCTTTTACTAGAATACTTGTAAATACTCGTCGATAATAATAATAATGATAATGATACCTTTAAAAAAACAATTCAAATCGCGTATCTCACACACACACATTTTATGAAGAAATGCTTGTTTGTGTGGTTGAACATGAAGTGCCGTCCTTCCGGCAATGCCACAACGTTATTCCCAGAGGGCCCGGGAAGGGCGTCCTCCAGGAATAAGGAGTCTTAGCTATTTCTCCTTTACATTTAGATCTCCACTTCCCTGATACAGACAGTAACACTGGTTTTACAAGTTCCAGAAACAGAACACTGAGGGGAGGATTATCTGAGACACTTGAAGCACATGATTTGTAGCAAAAGTCTGTGATTTCTCTGTAAATTACTAATCTGAAACAGACACAACAAACCGTCCACAGCTTCAACTTCAAATGATTTAAACAAAAATAGAACAAGCCATGGACATTGTCTGCATCCCTGTCCAATTTGATGTAAACAACGTTTGTAGAAATTGGGTTTGTTAAGAAAGTTTATCCATATATCTGGATAGCAATAAAAAGCGTTTCCTAGGAAACTGTAAGATCCTGTACCACACAGCATACAGCCCAACAAATAGGAAAATTAGGTTGGTTTCTAAATTCAAGGTACAAATGTACATGATTGTTCTTAACTCCTGTGGTGAAGTCCCAGCAGAGTGGGCATGGGTGTTGGTAGTTGAATCTGTTTTCCTTCTCTCTCCCGCTGCGGTCTTGCCCGTGAAGCTCATTGGTCTCGTCTGGATTTCCTCCTCAGCGGTGATCCCCTGGACGGCCACAGACTCCCTGTGCATTCTGGTCCTTCCCTGCCAATCCCACCCGAGTCAGTACTGTCCTTCCACTGATAAAGACACTACTGTTTCATGCCTGCCCATTTCCTCCAGGACAGCCGCCAGCATGCTCAGGTTTCCATCCGGGAAGTTCTGTGCTTCCCAAAGATCCAGGATTACACCAGTTGGGCTCGATTTGGTGGCAAAGTAATTCAAGTACCTGTAATTAGAGATGGGCAAGTGTGCTGAGTGGTGTGATTTACCGATCCATTTTCTCTTTACTTTTTACAAATCCCTTCCGTTTCTCCACTTGCTTGTTACAGAACTGTGTCCCATCTGAGAGAAAAACTGTGGTTTATAGGGAAGCTTCCTAAAAAACTAAGCCAGGCTTCATTAGATCAGACCCAGACAGGAGATGTAATGTTTAACTTTGTTAACCTCAACTCTGAGGAAGATAATTTAAGAGACAAGATGTGTATGGGTTATATCTTAAGCAGGAAATCAAGAGACTTATGTTTTCTTTCCGGCTCAGGATCTGATCATCTTTGACAGGTCACGCTATGTCTTTGGTTTGGTAGTGATGGCGACATTTTACAAAGACGAGGTTTCTGAGGTCTCTTTATAATTGAATGTCAATGCTGTGTTTTGCATATTAGTGACTCATGCACTCTATGTTCTGCTCACCAGGAGATGGGGAACGATAATTACTTCAGTGAGTGGATATGCTACAGAGGGGGTTTAGCCCATCAGCTTTGCAGAGTGGATCACAAGACTTGATACTACTTGTAAATGCTACATAAGCCCAGAATGTCTCTCAACAACGTGTTTGCAAAACCACAGTGCCAGATACAAAGAATAAGCTTAATACATGTTGGCAGAAAGTGAATAGATGTATGGATGAAAACTACCATATGTCTAACCATTATCAGCCTAGACCCCTATATGTCTACCAGAAACAGACCCTGTAGCCTGGCCATGCTCACCTGTCCAGGTTTAGCTTATGGGCCAGCATCCTCCAGTCATGACCTCTGGTCTGTGGAGCATCCAGGCTGCTACAGAGCTTCTGCCGGATCGGGGGAGGGATGCTGAAAGCACTGGGTCCTGTCATGGTGGTGATGGTGCTCGCTGGGTCCAGCAGCGGCAGATCGATGCCTGTGGGTTCCTGCAGTTCAGGCACAGGGACGACAAAGCATTATTTCTGAAGACAAAAGCAATCCCTGGTGAGCCAGTCACCATAATGCCTTGCTGTGAGCGATAAGAAGAGGATGGGTGCTATTATTCTTCCCAGTAAGAATGGCTTCTTCCTGGCTGCAAGTTGTGATTAGCTATCTGCAACCTGGCTGAGAGGAAAAGGTACATTTTGAGCTGAACTTTGCATAGCCTTGGGTATATGGGTGAATAGATTTGAGATTAGGAAGCCAAAAGCTCAGAACCTCAAGTAACTGTCTAACCCTGAGGGGAATGCCCTAGGCAAATGCCCATGTAAATTCTTGCTCTAACCTCTGCAGAAGATGGTTCTGCTTTTGCTGAATGAAATGGAACACAGCTCTCCTCTAAATGATACCAAATTAAGACTAATTTTTTGAAGAAAATGGTGAACACAGTCTATTGCCTTAGGGCAAGCTGCTAATGGCATCCTCCAATTGCTATACACCCTTATTTTTTAATCTAATTTTAGTAGAGAAAACCATAAATTGGCTCTTAAAATAGCTTCAGCTCATAAAACAGCACAAATGCAAAATCCGAATTTCATCTGTAGGAGAAATTCTAATCATTTTCTGATCTTCTGCTGGTTGCAAAAGCAAAAGCAAATGTTGCCAGGGAACTATTAAAGCAATAACAGACAATCTCCTTAATCTGCTTTAAATGTCACCTCTTTCTTTCTCTCTAAAAGCAGGTAACTCCTTAGTGTACATAATTAGTTGCTAGAGGATAAACTAACCACACATGGTTTCAGCCATCAGGGAGTCCCTGGGGTCTTGCAGAACATTCTGCTCAGGAGGCAGTGCCACCACCGCCCAGAACCCCTAAACCCTGCTGCTTCTGTACAGTGGGGGCCACTGCCATCTGCATTCCAGTGTTGACTGACAGCGTGTCCTGTGTTCCGGGATCAGCAGCTGATGCCACTGCTAGGTGTGTGTGATCCCACTGCACAGGTCTGCCCACACGTTAGCACTAAACAAGTTTTTTGTAGTAATATATGCAGTGGTGTTTGCTGCCATCATGGTATTTAGTCTCAAAACCCAAAGCTTGGCAGATCGAGACTCCCAGGATTCCTTTGTGTTAACTCCAGCAGCACATGCCAGGATTTAAAAGACTGGTAAAAAACACAGAAGCAAAAACGGGAGCTGGAGTTCCCGAATGAAGACACGACCTACAGATCTTTCCTGGCCCTGGGCACAGAGCTTCTCCCAAGGGACCTCGAGGAGAGAGGGCTCCTGTCCTCAAGGGCATGGGGCCTGCAACAAAGGCAGCAGAAGGGTTATCTGAGAGTGCTTGTTGGTGTTTATCACTGGATTTATGTTGGGGATGTCTGAACCCAACACTTCTATTGGGCATGAAATGATGTACATCTGGGTTGGGGAGGTGGAGGCCAAGAAAAATCACATGGTGTTTCCACAACAGTGCCGTCAGCCATGCGGAGGTCCTACTTGCTTTTAGTGTGGTCAGTGACGCTGGGGTCCAGAAGGAAATTCACCATGTCCCTCAGCTGAGGTTAAATTCACACAGGGAGGGGGCTGGTTTGTATAGTGCTGTCCCCAGAGACTCTTCTTACTGTTGGTTACAGTAACTTCCTCTTATTTACCTGTGATCCATCCTTGTCTGCCACAATGATCTCCCTAAAGTACCAAACTGGTGTTTCTCTCCTCTACCCCATCATTAAGAAGCACTAAATGCCCCTCCTACCCCATGGAGCCCCAGCTTTTAATCAGGCAGTGAGGGGTGTCTGCACCATCCGCCCACCAGCTGGGGTGAGGTCCCAGAGGCCAATGCCTGTGAAGTGCAGAGCTAGGCCTGATGTGGAGGAGGGGCCGCATGCCCACAGGCCCCACCGACTGACCACCTGACCCTGATCTTTCTCAGGTTGCGTCAACACGACTCAAACTCTCCTCAGGCAGGATTACTCATTGTCCCTAGCATCTCTTTTAAGAATCTGCCTCTAATAGTCCTTCTGACCTTTCCTTTAATCTCTGCCAGGCAAACCCCTCACAGTCTGGATCTAAAGCATGTCCCCTGAGCAAACGCGCCCACCAGCCTCGAGACCTACAGCCCTCTCACAGCTCCTCTGCAGCCCTCGAATCCTGCCCTATGCATGGTGCTCGTATTTCGATGTTGCTTCCTCTGATTGCTCAAATTTTGGAGATGGGAGAATTCCAGTCGTCCTAAGAACTGTGATTCGGAGCACAGTGGCCTGCACATGGGAACTACACAGTTCATATTTGCTGAAATGAAAGAAAATATTTTTCCTAGTACAGAAAGGGTCTGAAACCAGTTTCTGACAGAAGCCTATGCCATAGAGTTGGGAGTGGAGCTTCTTCCTTCCAACTAAATGTGGCTGAGACTGTGGCTCCTCTCACTGAGAAAGGTGGGTGTGGCTTTCAGGAAGGCCTGCTCACTCTCCCTCTGGTATTCTTCTTCCAATTGAACAGAGAACCATCAGCATGTCAGGTGGGCCTTCCAGCCCTGAGTCTCAGCCCGGACTCCGTTTACTTCTGTGTGGCTGAAACAAGCTCAGTAGGGCAGTATGTTTGTCTCTCGTATCAGATGTCTGACAGTATTAGCCTTGGAAATGAAAGAAAAATAGGCCTCTACATTTGCACTAAAATTTCAGTTGCTATTAGTTTTTCCTTCACTTCCAGGTAAAAGTAGAGCTTCCTCTCACAGAATGCTTATTACAATAATCGTTTCTGATATTGGTGCCATCTGTCTTTGATGTTGTGAGCCCCTTAAGCACATGATTTTTCTCCATGACCCAGCGCCTGCCAGGGGTGATGGCAGACACTCTCGGCACTCAGTCCACAGCAGATGCAACTTCCCACCCCGTATTCTACTCCTCCCAAAGTCATTGAGAAAACCTAGGCTTCCTCAATGGTCATTTCGGACAGAGTGTAGAAAACAGAACAGGTCAACAGAACACCCTGCATGGGTACAGCAGGGTGATGTTATTTGGTACATTGTTAATATCATTCCCTTTGTACACAAAAGTGTTGTGTATTCATAGTTAACAGGGGTTATAAGGTCTTTGTCTATAGTGAAAACCAAAGGTATGAAGAGACTGTAAGTTTCTCTTCTCTACACTATTTTTTCTCTTGCTGGTGATGAGTAGCTTCTCTGTTATTACTCCTCCACCCACCTAAAAAAACATTTTATTACATTTACATTTTGACATTTATCATGTCCATCCTTTTCAGACATTTTCATTCTTACACTTCATCTCTGTGAGACTGAAGGCTTTGGTTGTAGTTGAGAAATCTCTGTTCTGGCTGAAGCACTTGGGGAGGAGCAATTGGCCAGCTCTTGACATCACCACGGTCTATGTCAAGCACAGCCTAATCTCCCTGGGGGGCATCGGGGCCTCCTCTACGCAGAGGGTCCAAGGGCCACGCTGCTTTATAAATGACTGCTGGTGAGAGCCTTGAGCGGTGGGTGGTTGGGGGTGGGGCAGCAGCACATTCCCCGCAAGTCAGCTCATTCTGGGAGACAGGACCTCGCCACTGCAACCCCAGTCCACCTGCCAGCTCACCCGGTGACCGAGGAAGGGGCCCTGCGAGAAGGGCTCCAACCACAGACAGAGCCTTTTCTCTGCTCGGTTATGGTTTGTCAGTCACAGTGTACCCCTCCTCAGAGCTTTTGATGAGGATCTGGGTCTCAGGGCTCCCCACAGCTAACTAACTGTTCAGAACCCAGCCCCACTGGTCCCCCTCGGTGGGCCGCCAGCACCGCATTCAAATGCTAACAACCACAGTGGGACTCAGTGACCCAGAAGTAAAAGCAGCAGAGTGCCCCTTAATCCCCAAAGTCATCTGACTCCGGGCGCTTCTGCCCCCTCTCTGTTAACACAGAGGGGCAAAGGCCTCTGACAGGATGCAAGGCTGGCCTCCCTGAGCTGGCTGTGGCCAGGTTGCAAAAAGAAATTATCCTTTCTCAGTGTTGGCACCACAAAGAATGTCCTTAAATTGTGATCACACTATGCAAAACTGTCTCTTCCTGAAGAGGTGGGGGTGGGGGGAGTGAAGGGGTGGAGGACCGAACAGGAAAGAGCCCCCAACAGCTCCCTTTCATTTGCTGCTGCATCTGATCCACCTTTTCATCACACAGCAAACGTTCCCGCTGAACAGAAAGCAAGCATCAAAGGAGCAGACCTCCTCACCCCCTCCAAAATTCCGAAGCCTTTGTTGTCACTGGAGCTGGGTGGTTATTGAACTTTGCAGACCTGCTGGGCCAGGAAAGTGAAAACACCCTCCCAAGCCAGCAGGGGTGGTGCTGTGAGCCTGGGAGATAGGGCCTGAGCCTAGGGAAGGCCTGGCGGTTGCCATGGCACCCTGACTCCGAGATCGTTCCTTATGAATGTCACTGGGGTCTGTGACTAAAGTTGTTTATGAGTCAAAAGTCTCATGAAACTACAGGAGGAAATGATGACCGCACCCAGGCAGGCTGTGGGAAAGAGGGATGGAGCGTCTTGCTGGCTGACATGCTTCTCCCCTCGGTTTGCTAAGGAAGACAGTCTTTAAATATGACATGTGGAGCGAGACATGCTGAACATTCTGACGTTTCATTCGCCACTGTGCGTGAGACAGCAAGGGAGAAGCCTTCTTTTAAATCATATGCTGTCCTGCTGCAGTGGTAAAATAAGGCAACCCTGTGCACCGTGGCTCAGCAAAGGGCATGGAGCTGAGCCCTGGGAGGCCCTAGATGATGCTACCTTCCGACCACTGTGCTTATCCTGGTCCTTTGTTTCTCTGGCAGGAAGGGTTTCCACTCTCCAAACTGCAGCCGTGGAGCCACGGTAACTGACAAGTTCGTGTGCACCCGCTCTTTCATACAGAGAGGTTATAAATAGCAGTGCTGATTGTTATTTCTGTAACGGGAACATATAAGAGCACCCAGCTGTACTGAGTGAAGATCACAGCAGAGAAAGGCAAAGCGATGGAAACTAGGGGAAATGCACAGATTTTACTTCTATTTCTGGAACATTTCTCCCACCAGGGGGGAAAGGGCATCTTTAAAAAAATTATTAACTTTTTGGAGGTATAATTGACGTACAACATTATATGAGTTTCCGGTGGTATACAATATAACAACCCCATAGTGTGTGGATGGTGAAAATGGTCACCACAGTAAGTCTTGTTAACATCCATCCTCAGTTATAGTTACTTCTTGTGATGAGGACTTTTACAGTCTGCTGTCTACCAACTTCAGCTGTGCAATACCTCATGGTTAACTCCAGGGGCCACACTGTACCCCACACCCTGGGACTTACTGCTGCATAACTGGGCATTTGTAACTCTGACCCCTCCCCCATGTGCCCAGCCACTCAGCCCTGTCTCTAGTGTATCTTCTTATGTTTGGAGAACGACGTATATGAGACAAAGAGGACCGAGAGATGTCTCCTTTCAACAAGGACAAAAAGAAAGAGAAGGAAAAGGGAGGTGTGGGGGCAGAGGCCAGTTTCCCTTCCTGCACCCCAGGAGGCAGCCCCTGATTAGACCAAGGGAGGCCAGTTCCCTGAGGACGGAAGGGGACAGGGAGGGGGCGTGGAGGGGGCAGAACGTAGCACAACAGGGGACGCTCTGTGGAAGGTCGTTCCACATGTACAGGACTTCCATTAAAACTCACACTTGGAATTCATGCCTGTTGTAAAAAGTTAGAGCATGATCCTTAAATTCATGTCATGAAAAGTAAAAGCCTTGACTTCCAAAAATAATTCCTTATTATATTCTTTTATGTACCTAGCCCTGGTGTTCATTAAAATATTGTTCCATTAACAAATAGGACCTAAAGGAAGTTATTCAGGATTTCCCATACGGCCTGTATCGAGACACCCTTATACTCCACACTGTCTCTCCTCCCCGAGGTCATTCAGTGTCCTGATTTCTGAGATGCTCAGAGCTTCTTACCTCTGAGACGGTGCAGTTGAGCTGGAAGATCTGCCCTTCTCCTTCCACCTGTCGCACGCAGAGTTTGCAGACCAGCTCCACCGTGTTCAGGCTGAATCTTTCCAGAGTGAATGTGCAGTGGAGGTGCCTCTGAGACCCACTCCAGATATGGTAAAAAGGAATCTCCTGAAGGACAGAAAAGGGTTAACCACAGATGAGTGACTAACACTAACGTGACTGTCAGACCCTGGGCTGTAAGTACTCTTCTCAGTATTACACAGATCACCTCATTTAATTCTCAGAACAGGCCTACCGGTAAATACATCCCAAACTCCTTTCCAAATGAAAACACTGAGGCCTAGAGAAGTTAAATAAGTCAGCCCAAACCCCACAGCTAGTTGAGATTTGAACCCAGGGAGTCAGTCTCCTGAGTATATATACCTTAGCAATCAGTCACTTGTCTCTTATTTACCAAAAGAGAGAGAGAGAGAGAGAGAGAGAGAGAGAGAGAGAGAGAGAGAGAGAGGGAAGCTATTGTAAATGGTTTAAATAAAACCTACACACTCCAGTCATTGCTCATTAAAAGGAATCCCTGCTGTGGTTTTCTGGAGGAGAGCAAAGCAGCGCTAAGGGATAATGGGCTGGTCCAGTCCCTTTCATGCCTGCATCCTCCCTCTGCACGGGGCGGGGGAGGCTCGGTGGGCTGCTGCAGGGAAGTCTTTGCCCTGAAAAGCGCCAGGCCTCTAACAGACATACATTTTCAAAACTCCAGACCACATGACAGAGACCATCCTAAAATCTTTTTTCAATAAAGGAAAGAAAAGGTCGATAAAGAAAAAATGGATGAACACCGTGGTTAAGAGCACAGAATTAAGTACAAATGAGAACACTTTCCCCTCACCTACTTGGTGGCTTGTGGCATGTTCTGTAACCTTTCCACACCTCATCTGAGAAAGCGTAAGGAAAAGAGTACCTGAGTCCTACCCGGCCAGGGTCAGGTGAGATAAACCAAAGTGTCTGAGTGTCTGGCGCAGGGTAGAATTCAGCCAGGCTTGGTTTGAACCAATAGCAGGTTATCATTATTAGAAAAGCAGTATTTTTCCATTATGATTACACAAAGGAAATTGTTCATAAAAGAGGAAGATTTGTGGACTTTTATGACAGTCGCAAAATAGGGAGAAGAAGAAAGCAAAGGAAGAGATTTCGTGAGAAAGTTAAAAACCAGATCTCTCAATCAAGTGTTGGCTGATCAAGAAGAGTGTGGCGTGCACCCCCACTGAAGCTCCAGACTGTCACCGGATCAGCCCGTCGGCCTCCCATGCCATGGATGTGAGGACTAGACCCTGACAGTATGGAGGGAGTTGGAAAGTCTCCTCTTCAACCCTTCTAGTACATCCATCGATTTATACCAGGAAACCTCAACCAGTCCAGCTGCAGTGCTGGGGCGTGGGACTGGACTTGCTGGCGTGCAGACTGCACTTCACAGTTTATCCAAGTGTGTGTCCCTCTCCTAGGCCTGGGAATGAGGCTGGTGGCCCCATCGCATGGTCCCTGAGAACTCAGCTGGCTGGTGGAAGAGGAGGTGGAACCCCTGGAGAGTCCCTATGCTTTGGGACAGGAACATACAATGGGACTTGGGAAGCAATGTGCTAAGATTTAATAAAATGCTAACCAGGTTTTATTTTTGAATGCTTAATTCAGTTTTGAAACTGGGGACCCTTCTCCATTTTCAGAGTGGAGGTGCTCTCCCTTGTGTCACCTGAGATGGCAGTGCTCTTCTGTTTTTCTTGGGGATGCATTATAAGGCTTTTAAAGTCAATTGCACATAAATATTTACCCTGAAAGGTAATGATGAACTTGGAAGTCTTGTTTGCCTATAAAAGAATGATTGTCCAATTATTTGAAGGAGAATTAAGAAAAAAGCATCTCTTCAAATAAGTCTGGAGTATTTTTCAAAAGTATGAAATAATCCCAAATTATTTGGAGAAACAACTGCTGATGTATGTATGATTATCTTCAAGGAAGGGGATATATTGTGTCCAAGTGATTGTAGTTCTCCTTCATGTTGTCTCCAAGCCTTTAGTTCATCTTGGGAACCTTACCTGATACTTAGCCAGCAATTTGCTCTTCCAGAGGGAATGGGCGATGTCATGAATGGACAGGCGCAGGTTGTGGGCACTGCCTTTGAAATGAAGAGCCTTCGGTTCCTCTAGGAGCTGTCCTCCCATCTGTCTCTCAAGCTGCAAAACTTCCTGCAACGACACGCCCAAAGCCGAAAGCAAATTACTGAATTGTATCACTTCTACCAGCTCTCTCATCAGATGAGTGTTTCCCACTGTGCCTGCCCCCAACCGTGCTAACTTGTGCAACATGTGGCGGCCATTTCTGCAACCTCAAGGCCCTTCCGCTGAAGCCCCTGCCAGTGTGTGTGTGGCTGGATCTGCTGACCATCAACTATTCATCAGCAGTCCCACTGTTGGGGGCAAATTCAGTACAGTCTGCAGTTCCCGACGAACAGGCAGAATATCATTCACCTACAGCAAAATAACCATAAGAACCCCAAATGGAAAACACCCAGATGAAAGAAAAATATAAGCAGATAAGTAAGATGATCTTCAATGAACTTTTAGGGAAAGGAGCCAATAACTAGAAAATAGACCTGTGTCTTTGACTTGGTAAAACCAGCTTGTGAACAAAAATTTGGAATGTGCTTCGGGTATTTTTTCTATCTTTTTTAGTTTCTTTAGCTACAGAAATAAAATAGTAAAAATTTGCTTAAAATTATCTATTATAGGATTTCAAATTATTAAAAAAATTAAAATGTGTTCATTATATGTCCTATTAGAAGAAAATACACTGATGCAAATTAGGAAGGTTTCTCAGCACCAAATATTGAACTAAACAGTTACTCATATTAAATTTAATTATTTTATTTTTTATTCATTATTTTTTAGTTCTCACCCAAAGATATGTTCACTGATTTCAGAGAAAGAATAAGTAGGGGAGGGTGAGGAGGGGATGTGAGAGAGGCACACACAAAAATCAGTTGCCCCACCCCCACCCCCTGTATACCCTGACTGGGCACTGAACTTGCAACCTGGGTATATACCCTGAACAGGAATCAAACCTGCAACTTTTTGGTGCATGCGACAATGGTCCAACCAACTGAGGTACCCAACCAGGGCCAGATTTAATTTTAAAAAGAATACTTTATTTCTCAAGAAATGTGGCTAATCAAAAAATTTGTTATATAACTTACACTATAAAGATGTAAAACAAAGACAAATTCTATATATACATCCATTCCTCAATGCTCCATTAGTGTCCTAGTTAATGGGTGTTAATGAAGCATATCCAACTCCAGTTGTGATCATCCAAACAGCATCTAACCACAAGCTATCAGTGAACAAAATGTCCTGGCTCTCTTCTGCTGTCTGAACCATCCCCGTGCACACTTTGCTCCCCTCACCCATACAAAGTTTTAGTGATACAAATATGTAAGTGATATGTGACCTTTCTTTTCTTTAATAGGAGTTCAAGAAAATAATGGATTTTATAAAAATATAATTCCTTCTTTGGTGAGATTTCAATGGAAAACATAGGATTCCGTGCTCAGGCCTTTTCACACACAGGCACTGGCGCCTGCCGGCTGCCACACACAGACGGGTCGAGGTGGAGAACTGTGAGTATGTGAACCAGACTGTAGTCCGGTAAGTGCAGAGCTCACCCACATCATTGATTAGACGTAAACAGCTCATTTGAAGCCGCTTCTTTAGTGGTGTTCAACATCCATCATCTTTCAGTCAGGCCATTATTCTAAACCATGCACACTGCTGAAAGGTCCTATAAGGTGTAGGAAATATTAGGATAGTATGGAACGGTCTCAGACAGGGACTCCTCTAATTAGTGTCTAATGGAAGCAATAAGGCAATAGCACATGGATGGAAAGACAAGTGTGGTCCAGCTGCTTGAGAATATTGATGTTGAGATTATTCAATATTGCTGGCTGATGAGTAGCTATTACTTGTGACAGGATCCTGCCCCTAACCAGGCAGTCAGCCAGCCCCCAACTAGGCAGTTGACCACCCGGCCACATACACTGTGTCATTATGCTCTGGCTCCATTGTGCCTGCGGCTCAGCAGGCTCGGAGCGGCCCCTGGAGGCTATACAGACCCACGCCACCCACCGGGGTCACACATGCTCCTCGTGGACCTCCCGCTCACAACAATTTACACTCCATTCCTGGACAAGGACCTGGCCATGTGGAAATGAAGACATGAAGACGAATAAGGAAAGGGAGGGTTAATTACAGTTTCTTCTGCTTCAGCAGGAAGGCATAATGAGCTTATGTTGATCATGTTCATGTTCAGTGTCTAGTTAGCATAATAGAGAAAGCTGATGTTCCCAGTGAACCTGGCACCTGACAAATTCTAAAGCTAAAATGATGTTTGTTTATAAGCCATTAGAAGAAAAGAAACATAATTAGAAATCTTTGAGATTACAGTCATGCCAATCAATCAGTTCTAGCTTCTTTCCAGTATACCCTAATTACCTCATCAAGACGTCTAAAGAGCAATCGATAGTAATTATCTGATTACTATAGATCTTCATTATGTCCAAATTATCTCCCTGGGATGTCTGAAAGAAGAAGCATTGTATTCCGGGAGGTAATTGTACCCAACGATGTATAATCCACACCCTATTCCTACAATCAACATAGATTAGAGAAGATATAGGGAGCATTGTCAGTTTTCTTGGCAGGGCAGACAATTGAAAACAACCTAAATTGCATATTGGCCATGACCTTGAAGTCAAGAAATCTAATATCACGTTGCAAGCACAAAGTCTGGGGTGGAGTCAATCCTTGGCCTTGGCATTGACCTCAAGTCATGGTAAAGAGTTCTCCCTAGCAGGGAAAGTGAGTGGGCTGGCTTGAGCCCTTTTTTGAGAGAAAGTCCCAAGTAAAGTGTCATTTTATTTTTAATTTCAGTTTTGTAGTTAATTCTTTTTTAAAAAGTTACAGTTGACGTTCAATATTATTTTATATTAGTTTTGGGTATACAGCTTAGTGGGTACACATTGATATAATTTACGAAGTGATTCCCCCTGTAAGTCTAGTACCCACCTGGCACCACACATAATTATTACAATTGTTGACTATATTTGCTATGCTAAATAAAGTATCATTTTAGACAATGAGACCAGAAAACACACACTTTCTGTATTCTTAAGCTGTCCATCTCTCCACCAACCAGAAATGACGCAGTGCTGCTGTGCAGAGCTGGGGGGAGCCTGACTTTTCTCTCTGCTTCGATTAGACATCAACCGTGGTGAGAGGCGAACTGCCCAGCATGCCCACAGCATCCTTGCTCACAGCAGAGGTCTCTAAACACGTGTGACTTCATGTGCCTACTAGTCAAAAAATCAAGCAAAGACATTGAAATTGAGAACAGGCTGACAGTGACCAGAGGGGAGAGGGGTGAAGGGTTTGCAGGGACAATTACAAAGGACACATGGACAAAAACAAGGGGGAGTAGAAACAGGGGAGAGAGGTAGGGAGGGCTGGGGTGGTGGGGAGGGGTGGGGGGGAAAGGCAGAAAATTCTACTTGAATGACAATAAAAATGTTTAAAAAATCAAGCATTCATTTTGTATGTTTTTCTGTAAATTATAGGCCTATATCAATACATCAACATGTTGTTCTATTATAAAATACAAAAGGTAAAAGCATGAGATAAGCCAAACACAGAAAACGTGTATTAGTTTATGTTCACCCCAAAGTTCCGTGGGCCTGGGGTGTGCGCGCTCCATTTCAGAGGCTGCCGGTTTAGCTGGTCGACCTTGCACTGGACTCTGGGAGAAATCATTCCAGGAGAAAATGACTCAGTTCAAAGGATTCTTAGAAAACCTAAATTTATTTTTTTTCCTGAAAAGTAGCAACTAGGATCATCACACTCAGGATGTTCAACTTCAAGGAAACAACAAAGTAAAGGAGAAGACAGTATGCAAAGTGCAAATTAAACAAATGTTGAAGTGGAAATTCAAGATATTAAAAGTAACATATAAGACAACACCTTGACAACTAAAATCCTCTGAAACCATACATGAGTCAGAGGTGACTTGCCACACATAGCGAATCCCATACATAACTTTTGTGTCAGAAGACAGAAGAAGCAAGACCACTGGTCAGGTTAATTAACCTTATTTGTCCATATTGTTATGGTTTAAGTATTATAATTTCAGATATTTTCTAGCCCATCCCACTTAAAAATACTGTAACTTGCATTTCAAAAAGCTTGATTTTTGAGGTTCTTTCTGCATGAAATCATTTTGGTTTTTATATATTGATGCAGGTAAGTAAGAGAACATGAACATAACAGGTGTGTGCCTCGATCAACAACACACAGTGTCACAGTTAAATGTGTTCCTTCCCTCAGTCTTCCTGGGTGCATTCATCCAGCATCCATGAAGCACACAGGCTCTGCCAGGAGCCCTGTCAGGCTCTGAGGCACACAGACAAGTCCCTGTCCCTGCCCCAACCCATCCCTGGACCACGGCAGGTAGACCGACATATAAACAGGAACCCCAGCATAGTGTGCTCAGCTCCAAGACAGCTTCCTTACTGCTAGGATATTTCATGCATCTTAAAAGAGATGAGGAACAAAATATATTTAAGGTCAAAAGATTTAGGAAGACTTAAGAAAAATATCATGACCTTGCAAAGAAATGCCATAATGGGAATTAGGATCATCTAGGCTCTTTGTTCTCAGAAATATAAATGCCACCTTCTCTTGCAAAGGCTGTCTCCTTCCTGGCAGCACCCGCACTTCAGGGCCTTGTTTGGCTATTGATGCCTCTACCTGCTGCTCTGATTGGCTCGCTCTGCTTCTATAGAAGGAGTCACTTTCTGAGTTTGTCAGTTCCACTTCCACCCTTCTAACTTAACCTTGAAAAGACTCTCTCAGGGGTCAGTTATCAATAGAGGTGTCGCTAGCCAATCACTTCACAGGAACACACTAGAGAATCCCAGTCATAATGTGTAATGTCATCAGGAGCAGTCCCCTGGGTGTCAGAGCCCGGTTCCTGCGGGGGTCAGAGCAGTCCTGCGAGGTGGCTGCTTCCCCAGTGCATGGCTGCCCATCACAGGCCCTGTTGGAGGGCTGTATTGATTCAGGGAACCTGTGAGGCATTGCTCCAGAGGCAGGGACAAGGGATTCCACAGTAGAAACAAGCGGCTTTCACAATAACCAAT